AAAAAATATTACAAAACTCTGAAGTTTTTTCATAAAGGTAACCTAGAAATACAGATATCACTGGAATAAGAAAGAAAATTCAGAAATCGCATATTTTCTCGTAAATTAAAAGAAATAACTGATGTAATGAATATGCATACACCTGTGGTCCCCCCTCACAGGAATATGATTGGTTGGTGTCAGCCATAAATACAGGCTGATGTAGAGGTATAGGGACGACGCCCATTGGACTATGCCATTGGCTATCCTATTGGTCTACGCCTATTCCATACATCTATTGACTACGTCTACGACGAGTACCAGTCGATTGCTGCTACCTGCTAGATTGTACTACTCGGTTACAGTAGCCAAAACCACTTAGCTACTTCGATCAAATATATCCCATATCAATAACATATTTAGCTTTTTGTAGTAAGTGTATGCAAAAGTTTCCAGCCCCCCACCCCCCCAAAAAACCCGGAGACTGATTGTGTATTTAGCGTGGCGGTTATCAGTAAAGAAAATATAATCAGCCTTCTGAGTTCAAATATGGATTTTGTTGCGTTCATGTTCGCTTAAGTACCATTGGAAAATGTATGAATCCGTCTTTTCTCATCACGTCCATGGGACACACTAGGTACTCAGGCCTTGGTTAAAAACAATCTAGGGGAACAGGATATCTGAGTTCAAGACCGATTGGACATGGCTGGCAACTCCAACCCGCGACAACTACTTTCTGCGGAGATTACTACAGCAACCCTTATTGCAGTGAGCTGTGTTCCCATTTTTCACTGGGGATTCTAATGGCACTAAGGTAGTGTAGTATGGGGGAGAGACTGAATACCAGTTTTTTTTGCAGACGCCCATAGGTAACCTATTAATGTGCCACAGTTCTTGGCTTGATTAAAGTTGCCTCTGCTTTCTGTCGCCATATGAAATCTACTCTAATGTGCTTAACAGTAGAAAATAAGTTGTTTCCTGTAAATGTTGTATCTTACCATTTATTTTATCAGGGTTTCCACTTGGAACTTTGTTCTGATCTCTGACCGAACTGTCAACCACTTGTCTGCAACGACCAGACTGACGTATTCATATTTTTATTAAATATGTTTTCTTTTGCACTAACCACTTTAAAGCGTGTCAGCAAGCTGGACTCGTCGAACATTAATGTTTGAGTACAATTCCTACTGAGTATCCCATAAAGAATGTCGACCCTTTATCAGACCTTATAGACTGGTGCTACAAAGTCACAAAGAGCTACACTATAGGCCAAAAGCATGGAATGATCACCTAGAATTAATAATTAGGAAGTTCTATAGGTTATTTGGTTTAATTAACTCCGACTAAGTTGATATACTGAAAATATTGAATATTATTTTGGAGAGGCGGCTTAACTAAAAGTAAAATTTCGACAACCCTAAGCTTACAGTTCGACAGAATTTGGCACGCTGGTTTTCTACATAAGCTCCAGGGTTACGGTAATACTGGACGTGTCTATGATCCAAGCGTTTCTATCAAATCGTGAAATGAAGGTCGTTTTGAACATGCAAAGCAGATTAGGCAAAAAGAGTTAACTTTTCAAGGAAAAATTATTCAGTTATGGAATTTAAAAAGTTGTAGAGTTGGTGTATATTGTGGAGGGGTTGTAAACAATTCAAGTAGAAGCAAAAAGACTTAGGTTTCTATCACGACCATTCTCATTTTTCTTTAAAAAAAAATGAACTTTAGTAAAAGAAATTTCTCAAGGTCTATTATGCATGTCCATTTTCGTTTTGGGCCACAAGTTAGGCTAAGTATAAGTATCGTATTAATGGTCGATCTCAAAAGCAGCCTTGCACTGAGTTGGAACAACCAAAGAAAAAGCTTGACTTACTTTATTGGTCGCTGTTTTGGAAACCACGTGCGAACGCCATGCGTTGAAAAGTGGAGAGCCAGTTGTCAGTGGACCGGTAACGAACCTGCATCAGCAGGATCATCCGTGTCTCACGTAGTGCCATATCTTCGAGCAAAGGGGAGAAAGAGATTGAGGCAGGAAATGTTTATCTTTTTATTGACTTCAACATCGCCGCATCACGTGGTTTGACGAAGCCAAGTGGGATAATCATATTTCCGGTTCCTTTACTCATTGGAAAATGTATTTCTTTTCCATGTTTAAAGCGCCCCTTTTCTTTGGCAAATGATGACTGTATATTTCTAGATTGCTTAATTCTTAACAAAATTCAAAGAAAGGTCTGTAATCTAATCGATCCTGATCTCGCATCTATACTTCAGTCATTTTCCGACTGTCGTAACGTCACTTCGCTCTGTTTTTTCTACAAATATTTCCATGACAATTGTTCTGATGAGCTCTTTTCCTTAGTGCATCGACTGCATGAATTTAAGCATGCTACTAGATTGGCAACTAGGTCTCATCTTTTTTACTGTTGAACTAGCTACATCCAACTGTATAGTTTCTTTTCTCGCACTTCTTGCCTGTAGAACTCTCTTCCGATTTCATGCTTCCCTGCAATCTTCCAATAGTTAAATGCAACGTCAATCGCTATCTTCTGTCTTCCTGTTTCTTTATTGTCCTTTTCCTCACTTCCTTCTGTTCGCTAAAGTATTCTCATGCTCATTCAATTCCCATAAATCCCCGTCTCCTAGTAGCATTGTCATCTTGCTTGGGGTGAATCGAAAAACAAACTCTTTTTTTCAGATTCATCTGATGTTCTGAGTTGGTATCAGTGGCGTAGCTAGAGTAAACGTCACCCCAATGACCCCGATTCCCCCTATGCTGAATAGTTAGCTGTAGCTAAATTTTCATACATGCTCTACCTCTACTTTACTCTACTGACCGGTACGTTACTGTTTACATGTATGATCCAAGACAAAATCCAATACCACAAAATAATCAGTTCAAATCAAAAGCTGAAAACATTGCTATTTTTCCTACTCACAAATTTCCCGACAATTTATGGGAACAAAACTGGGGGGGGTCATAAATTATTTCTGGGGGGTCATAAGCCAGCCTGCGAAACCCTGTGTCTCCACCACTGTTTTCAGACTATGTTTTAGCCTGGTTGAAAAATTTTGTTGGGGGTGACATTGTGTCCCCCTCCTGTGCAGGCACTTGGGGCGGTCGGCCCCCCTCGCCCCCCTAGCTACGCCATTGGTTGGAATACCACCTTTTCGTTATAATTGTCTACGCTTATACGAACTCTTCTCCTGGACTGATTACTGTGCCCTGCTGGTAATATTTAGTTCGATTTATCAGGCGAATTTTCGGTATGATGATAGTGACGAGTTGTCACGGTATCCTGTTGATACGCACTGACCGGACTTGTATAACATCAGTAAAAACTGGTGGGAAAAAAGCCAGAGCTCACCAATCAATAGCAATCCTACTCTCCTCTCTATTGCCAAATATGTCTCGGTATTTAATCCCCGCTTGCTACACAAGATCTTTTTAAACGTGGGAAATGAGACACAGTTCAATGTTAATTGCATTAAAAAAATGCCCAGTTTCATCGGCATGTTACGTCAAAAATCAGTTAATGTGCACAAATCTGAGCGTACTTGCAAATATCCTACCTGTTAGACGGATGCCCCTACAAAAGGCAGAATTCCCCCTTTTCGATTTGTTTGGGAAACCATATTTCTAATTATTTCTACCGATCGGGAAACACGGCTTATGCCGTTTAACAGTTGGCTTACGCTCATAATGAAACACCGATTCATTTACGATCACCAAAGTTAAGCAACGTTGAGCCTGATTAGTACCCAAATTGATGGCCGTTTGGGTATACCAAGTACTGTAAGCTTGGATGTGCTGTTGGTATAATAGATAATAGCTCGGAATTGATAATCGGAGAGCCGAGTTCAAATTCCACTTCGGTTTGTTATATTCCCTTACGCGCAAATACCCTTGGAAAAGGCATGAATCCATTTTTCTCCTCCAGCTATAGTTTAATCAGTTGAAATTGTATCACTAAATCATTATTATCTAAAAAAAATCTAAAAGTATTTTCTGGTTTTAAATATCCTGCAAAGTGTTGATGAGCCGTAAAAAAAACGAGTCAATCATAAGAATCAACTATAAGGCATGCACTAAAATTCTTCAATTAGTTAAACTCTCTCGTAAAAATTATCACAATATAATTTTTACATAGAAAATGATGTGATATAGAATGAGAATCAGCGTGTAACTCTCCTGAAATTAATTGACTCTACTTAACAGGCTCTGATTTTACAAAAGTCAGATCAGACCAAAGCAGTCTTCACAGTGTTTTAAATCATTTCCGCGGTTTTGTGGGTAAAGAATTATTTTCAACCTCCAACCACTTTCCTACAGATTAAACATCCATCGCAAACGTCGTCCTACTCTGTCGCAATTTCTCTTAGTATTCCATTAGTAGGAAGGAAGTTCAGACAGCTTCTTCCCGAAGATCGGTACTCTGTGGAATGGGCTCCCAAGATAATGATTTCCTGATCCCAACATTCTTAAACTCTTTAAGTTTAGAGTTAACCGTTATCTTTCCTACATATCCCCATAATCTTCACTTCTTACTTCCTCCATTTACGTTCATACAACAACCTCATTCATACTGACAAGATGACGCTTCTTTGATCACTACAACCATAACCCCAGGGCTAGAACCGTTATCAACCTACATATTTTCATAATCTGCATTTCTTACTTCTTCTTACGCACATGCAGCAATCTCATTCAGAAACCCTCTAACTTGAGTGACTCTTGGGCCTTGTATTGTGTGAACATTTATTAAGAAATACCAGTTATGGAATACCGTTAATTATCATAATTTCTCCTAATATTTATTAAGATTAGTGGGAGACAAAGTCAAATAATGTTTGAAAGACTGTGTTGCGCCAACACATTTATGCCATCCATATATACGTAAATGTTAACATTGCCTGTTTATGTGCAAGACATGATTCCATCTGGAGACGAGGATTGGTTAACCATCAATCCAATAACGGCATAATGTTACACAGAATATTCTATTTAATATTGGCTTGGTTCCTTACGGCCATATCACGTTGAAACATCGGTTCCCGTACCATCACCGAAGTTAAACAACGTTGAAGCCAGTTCCTAGATGGGTGACCAGTTGGGAATACCAGATGCTGTAAGTTGCGATGTGCAGGTGTTGTAATGGATAACGGCTCAGAATTGCTAATCGGAGTGGCGTGTTTCAATTCCAGTTAGGTTTGTTTTGTTTTACGGCATATCAACCTTAATAGGGTATTTAATGCCGACAAAATTATTATTGCTGTTAATATTTTTTTCAAAAATCTATTTCTGGCAATTTTCCTACAAATATGTATCGCTGGTAATATTTTTTTTCAAAGTATTTCTGGTATTAAAACCTATTTTTACACTTTCTTAGTGTTTTGACACCAATTTGTGGTTAAATATTTGCCCATAGCTGGGAGCCTAAGAGGTGCAACCACCTCGGGTCAGAGTGGATCTGGGAACACCAGTAATTAAGAGGTAGTTCCACGCTCCTCAAAATCTCCTGCTCAGAGGCCTTGCTGTTTGACGTAGTTTATCGTCTTACCCAGGATAACAATTCCAGTTAGGTTCGTAATATTCACTTGCGCGCAATACCATTGGGAAAGGTATGCCTCCACCTCTCACACCCCCAAGCTAATTAGTAAGAACTGTATCAACCAAACCATTATTATCTCTCAAAATCCACCACCACCATCACCACCACCACCATCACCACCACCACCATCACAGCAACAACAACAACAATAATAATAATAATAATAATAATAATAATAATTGAGTGCAAAATATTTAGATTTCGGTATTAAATAACCTCGATCCGAGCCGCTATCCATTGCTTCACGATGCCTCCCGGAGAGCCGTGTTCGAATTCCAGTTATGGTATGTATGTTTTCCTCCCACGAGCTATGGGTAAATGACAGGACAGACTGGGTTCTGTAGCCTTGGATGGCAACTGGTCTACCGCAGAAAGAAATAGCAACCTAGTGCGGAAAAAAAATCTGCCTCGTCAGTCATGTATCGAAAGATACATGATCACCTAAGCATTTATCACGCATAGCAGATAGCTGACTGGCTGAAAAATAAGTAATATTCTAAAATAACATAAAAGTCAAGAAGAGAATAAGCTGTGGGTAACAGGGTGGGCTTGTTGAAGTCGGGAGAAAATAAAAGCTGGCATATCAGCCATAATTGATAAACACATCTGCGATTAATAATCATTGTTTTTTTTTTTATTATAGATAAATAATTTCCTTCGGATTATATAGAGAAAACGAAACATAATGAAATCAGCCATTCTTTTCTTTTCTTTTCTTTTTTTTTTTTTTGTAAAGCAAATTGTGTTCTCTTTATAAATAAGATAGGTTTATTGGTGTTTTGACGTTTGAACAGAGTGGAGAAGCTGATTTATCCAAAGTGTTTGTTAGATCGACTCCGTTCCTTGCAAATGGCCGAGCAGGGGAACGGTCTTTTCATGTGCAAAGTTCAAATAATATCTGTATATATTGTATTGCGTGTGGGCGTAGCGGAGTGGTTCAGGGCAAAAGAAGAAAGGAAAATAGGTTGGCAGTTGTTCGCGGTTTTTTTACGCACCTAAACAGGAGTGGGCGTACTTGTGTTTGTATATCTATGCAGAGTCAACGTATGTCAGTGTGTTTAAATATTTATGGTGATTGAACCCGTATCTGCATTCATAACTTACGGGTACTTCTGCACTTATTGGTAGTGTAGAGCTTAAGGTACTCTTTTTTGTTCAGTATTACTATTCTAGGGAGTTCACGGCATACTCAATGGCCTTCTGCTGTATTAACCCAAGTTTAGTTCAATATCAATAGGCGGTTTTGATATAAACCAATTATTAACAAGTCCTATGCTATTAGTTTATTTTCCACTTGTGGAAATCTCTTCCAGATTTCTGTTTTTCTGTCAGCTACGATCTTCAAAATTTTAAATGCAATGTCAATTGTCATCATCTGTCTCATTGAATCCTGTTCTTTTATTGCCCTCTCTGTTTCTTTTACTCTCAGTCGCCCCTTGTATCCTAGTAGCTTTTATTGCATTGCTTAAGGTCAAATAATAAAAAAAATGCTTAGCTCGTAATACCTTCATCCTATATCAACTAGGGAACATACTGGAATTCCCGTTCATGTAACTTTGACCCTGATTATGTTAAACTAGCAGCATGGCCCGGCGTTGCCCGGGCTTGATTCAAAAATCGTACGACTCATACAGCAATCGCTATCACTTCACTTAAAATATTTTTGCCCTTCCTTGCCTTTAAAGGAGTGCCCTTTTCCGTGCTGATGTTGTTACATGCCTTACTTCTTGCCTATCTCACACTGCCAATTTTTTCTAAGCTAATCCGTTACGAAAAAAGAACTAAACAAAATGAACGCAAAACAATCAGCTTTAAAAGAGGACTCGTAACTGGAAAAACCGAATGAAAAAAGAATGTTAACAACAAATACTTTTTCACACCCAACCCAGTTCTGCGGAATCAGAATCAACTTTGAGTTTAAGCAAGCGAATGAGCCAATTGGAGTAAAGTGCCATGCAGATTTAAATTTTTCCCACTTGTGACGAATGCAGCTATCGATTTTTCTTTTGCATGCTAGCATGCTAGTTAACATTCGTGTCAGTCAGCTGTTGGCTCTCACGCTGGCCAATAGAATCTTCCTGCCTATTCGTGGCAGCCAGCTATAGGCTCTCACTCTGGCCAGTAGAAAATGATCGCAAACTACATGAAAACTGCCATAGAAGCATGAAAAATACATTATTTCCACTATCGATGGGAGTTGGGAAATGCAAAGTCGGTCTTAGCCTTCCCGCTAACTTGGAGCATGTGCATGTAAATTTTGGTGCAAATCCGTCGTGCATTCGTTACACACACACACACACACACACACACACACACACACACACACACACACACACACCTGCCTTTTATAGATAGTGATTTAATAAATATCCATTTTGACGATTAATTTCTCGCATTGTGGTGCGTGTGTACTTGACTTAAATCAACGTAAAATGCAATCGACTCACCCAATTCAAATTCCGGTTTAGTTTGAGTTAACTTTACAGCAATAAACTTTCAAAAAGCATAATTCCACCTACCACTGTTAAGATCCTGTTTCTAATGGCAAGTTCGAGAATATTACAAAATACTTTTGAAATCAGCCGAGAAATCTGATGAGTGGGCTACACAGCAGATCAGCACTTTTTCTTTATTTCCCGAAATTTTCCTATTTTTTTTTCTATTCCAATGTAGCTTCAAATTTCGGTGCCACGACTTCCACCCTCTGTTAAACTTTTCAGATATTTATTTTTGTACTTGGTTGATTTTCGGTGTCTTCTTTTCTTCCTTTGGTTATAGTTAGTATTTTTTGGAAGGGCTCATCATTTGGAATCATCTGCTGACAAATTATTTGGAGGAACTGTACCAGTACAAATCATTATTAGTAATTATTTTATAGTACACTATCATAATCTACAAAGAATGTTAAAAGACTATATTATCTTTTGGGGTTTTCTCAAGTGGATTTGATTAAGGCTACTCATAAAAATGTTTCAATCGGAGGATTAAGAAAATATATTCCTTTCTCTCATACAACTTACCTGTGCCTTTTCTATAAATATTTTCATGGTAACCTCTTTGGTCCCTCGAATTTACGAAATTGAGCGCATTACTGGATTGGCAGCTAGGTTTCATCATTTTGCAGTTGAAATTTCTCGATGTAACTGTGATTTTCTGCTAACAACATCTCCCACGCATCTCGCTTTCTTGTTTTCCTGTCAACTTTGATCTTCAAAAAAATTAAATGCATTAATCACGTTACTATTATTATCGCTATGATGTTGTTAAATGCCTGTTTAACTTACATTCCAGTATTCGCATATATGTAAATTGGCAAATGTCATCCAAAATTCCAACGAAGGGCGAGATGGAAAGATTGATGAAGTAGCAGGAATATTGAATGACAGGGCCATGCGAAAATTGCATGAAGTTCAAATTTAATTGTTAGAAAAAATAAATGCGCTCTAATCTTTCGCAGTAAAACTTCGACTAGAGCTTCAATCTATAGAGTTTTCGGAATGCTCCGTCGGGTAGGGTGACTTAGTAATCTGCCTCGGGCAGGGGTATTGGACCTTACTGTCAACAACCCACGTAGGAGAGGGGAAATTCTAACAGAAAACCCACATCCCTATGCCTCCAATGTCCCACCAGGAGAGGGAAACTTGAACAGAGAAACCATGACCACTGGACCTTACTGCCAATACCCTACCTTGGAGAGGGAAAGTCTTACGAAATCCCAAGATCACTGAACCTTACTGCAGGTCCCACCTAAGGAAGGGAAAGTCTAACAGAAAACACCTGATCACTAGACTTTACTGCTAATGTCCCACCTTGGAGAGGGAAAGTCTTACAGAAATCCCACGATCACTGAACCTTACTGCAGGTCCCACCTAAGAAAGGGAAAGTCTAACAGAAAACACCTGGTCACTGGATTTTACAGCCAATGACCCACCTAGGAGAGGGAAGCTGTAGTAAGTAACTCACGATCACTGGAGCTTACTACCAATGTCTTGCCGTGCTTGGCAGCTAGTTTAGAAGAACTATGGATTCAAAATCGTTTAGGCGTGCGGCTGGCATTTCTATCCCGTAACAAACTGCTTAATGCTGAAACCATAACAGCAACACCCAATGTGTTGAAGCTGTGGCATATTCTCCGCACCATCGTCTCTAGCTTCACGCAGTCTATCGTTAACTCTTCAGGCTTCAGTGCTACATCGCTGATTGAATGGGTGACGGGAGAGGGGACACAGTCGTTGGAACATCCTTTCATGGGAGAAGCGAGAGGGAAATACAGAGAGGAAGTATGTCAACAGGTTGGCTGACCACCCATTATCACGTGGTGGTCCGTCTCTCGAGGGAATCTGGGAGCAGCGTGGCGTCTACACCCTTCTATTCTTGCAATCGTAATCTTCGCGCGTTTTTTTTTTTTTTTTGGTGGGGAGTGTTATTGATGTAATCTAGTGAAGGTTACTGAATAGAATAATCAAACGAAGGTTGGTAATGAACGATAATACTTAGGACAAGAACAACACATATAAGATT